AGTAGTGTAACAGTAGGGTAACAGTGCTTGTAACAATATTGTAACAATATTTCAATTGCATTGTAATAGTATTGTTACAGTATTATAACAGTACTATGAACAGTATCACACCAGTATTTTAACACTATTCCTAAAATAGAACATGCAAAATAGAATTCTATTTCAACAATATCATTAAAATAGAACAATACCGTCCATGCACCTCACCTATACAAAAACAAATAATACACAAGAACAAAGAATTCTAAAAGAACATTCCACCCCTATAATTTCCCCTATAAAACTATCATCCACATAAAAACATTGAATAAATTTTGCAATTACATAATAAATGAATCACTCTATAATTTATTTTTCTCTTTCCTCTATTACGAATGATATCACATATCATCTGAAAATAACGCTCTAAATGGATCTTTAAGTAATATAGAACAGAGATTCGATTACTCAATCGGACTTGTTGTTTCTTTCAGTTGCTATTTAAAACGCTATTTAAAACTAGTCTAGTCGGTGCCAATGAATCACTTATCGAAGGACGATTTGATACCCAGATCGCGTCACCGATAGTTAATAAAACTTTTCTACGTATCGTTTGCAGCAGCTTCTTGGTGTTGCTTGCAAATTCAAACAATGACTAAACCTTTGATAACCATTTGGCGATCGTGGACACTGTTTGTGATGGGATCTGGTGCTATTATTGCAAGATATTAATCGTTTTTATTGCTGGAAGATTTTGTAATGTTTGTAACACTTTCGTTTTCGCGGAACTTGTGATATTTATGTTTCTTTGTTTTGTAACTGGAAGAACTGATAATATGGAATATATGCGTCGGTGTATGTTTTATTGGTTTATTTTGTGAAAGAAAAAATTAAAGTGATATAGTGGAAAATTTATTTTATTTTATAAAGTAGTTTTATTATATTTTATTTTATGAAATAATTTATTTTAGTTTATTTTATGAAATAATTTTATTATATTTTATTTCATGAAATAATTTATTTTAGATTATTTCAAGAAATAATTTATTTTAGTTTATTCTATTTTATACATTTGCATTTTACAAATGTTTTTAAATATTTACATTTTACAAAATAAAATAAAATAAAATTAGGAAATAAAATAGAATTAATTTCCCATCCTATAAATTCAATTTTAGTAAAAATCAAAATATTAGTAATTTTGTAATATATCCTGTACTTAGTTTTTATTATTTGTTAGATTTTATTTCCCCTGCAAAGAGAATTGCAACTTTGATGCTCTACTTTATACGCTTCATATCACTTTCATATCTATTATAGAATTATCTAAAAGAAAACTACTGATAACATCACACATGTGCACACTATTTTTGTATCTAAATTTTCCATCAACTTATAACAAAATCATCTTGCTAATTTTTAACTTCTGTTATTTGTTATATTTGCTTATACTTTTTTGTTACATTTAGTTTGTTTTATAAATCAAGATTATTTGTTAAAGAACACTTTCAAATTTAATTACATATTTAAAATAAATAATAAAGCATTTATTTTAACACATTTTGATTGTACTGAATTCTGTGTATTTTACCATATTTTGTTATAATAAAATTGCTTGTTATAAAACATTTTAAAATAAAATGATATTTTTAAAACAACTTGAGACATTCTTTAAATAAATTCAATCAGACATTCTCTAAATAAATTCAATTAAAAATTCTTTAAATAAATTCAATCAGAAATTCTTTAAATAAATTCAATCAGAAATTCTTTAAATAAATTCAATCAGAAATTCTTTAAATAAATTCAATCAGAAATTCTTTAAATAAATTCAATCAGAAATTCTTTAAATAAATTCAATCAGAAATTCTTTAAATAAATTCAATCAGAAATTCTTTAAATAAATTCAATCAGAAATTCTTTAAATAAATTCAATCAGAAATTCTTTAAATAAATTCAATCAGAAATTCTTTAAATAAATTCAATTAAAAATTCTTTAAATAAATTCAATCAGAAATTCTTTAAATAATTTCAATCAGACATTTTCTAAATAAATTCAATTAAAAATTCTTTAAATAAATTCAATCAGAAATTCTTTAAATAAATTCAATCAGACATTCTTTAAATAAATTCAATTAAACATTCTCTAAATAAATTCAATTAAACATTCTCTAAATAAATTTAATTAAACAATTCTTAACAAATTTAATAATTTAATTACATTAAAAAAAATTCAATCATTTCATATCTTATCAAAATTGACTTGTGGCTAAAAATTAAAATTTAACGCATAGTTCAACAGTCATGGAAAATATATAGAGTGGAAGAAAAGGCAAGTTTCTATTGCCTAAAGAGGAGAACCAAACGCGGCTTTCGCACATGGATGACGAGGCTTGAATTTTGTCGACCACGCGAAAAAGGACAAAGGCTGGTTCACATTATCTGCGACAAAACGGTACACAGCCCACGCGCGTTATTTCTTCGACTACCTACGTTACACGGCGATAAAAAATTGTTTACAGAGCCCTTTGTACACTTTGGAACACTCGTACACAATTTTGTATAAATATTTGTTAATAACAACAGGACAGCAATTAACATCTTTAGCAGCTGTGAAAATTAGTCATAGTTGTAAGGAAATTTGTTGTTAAAATAAAAATTTACTCCATTTAATAAATTTTGCAAATTCTAAAAATTCAAATTAGGTGACAGAAACAAGTAATGTATAATTTATGAAACTGAAAGATTAAGAAAGACATAAAAATTGACCACATTTAATAAATTTTGCATATTCTAAAAATTCAAATTAATTATTGTGACAGAAACATTTATAATTTATGAAACTGAAAGATCAAATGAGTAAGTAATTATTACAATAGAAATTATAACATCAAAAATATTTAATCAGAAACTAAAAATCTGAATCAAGATTTGTTACCATAAATTTTTCAAAGTTTAAATATTTTATTTTATCTAATACTTCTATAAATTTCAGTTATGATTACTACATTATATTGAATTTATGACGTCAGTCACTGGAGACCCCGGCAGCAGTCAACGCGTTAATATAAAATTTCAATTTCATAAATCAAACTGCCTCAAAGTTATTAAACGTTATGCAAGGGTGTCCCAGTGGAACTTATCGATATCTCGACGTACGAAAAGAACTAAAACGAAGTGGAATAAACAAGATTTTAATCATTACAAATGAACCGTCCTTAATTTTTTAAATCCGTAAATTTGAATAATTTACTATTTTTATAAAAACTTATTTTATTTTAACAAAAATAATAATGCTATTACAGTAATAAAAGTCTCACAATAAAAAGCAACATAAATGGCGCCTACATTCTCAGTAGTTAAATGTCTCCTACAGGAAAAAGATATTACATTTGCATAATCCTAGTCTAATAATTACATATGTACACCTGTCTCATAAGTGCGTTAAAGAAGCTCCTATTATAAAATACATATATAAACAGTTTCCACCGTAATTTCAAGAGAAATGCTACGTCGTTTTACCGAGATGGGAGATAAAACCTAGGCTTGTTTAGTTGCTAAACAAGACGTTCTTTCACTCTCGCCTGTCCTTCGAAGACAGTCAATATTCATACATAGATCGAGTGTCTCGATCATTGTGCGCAAGACATGTGAATGCACTTACGTTACGGTGCAAATATAAATATGGCCGCAGAAATTAATATTTGCATGGAATCGACGCAAACGTAATCAATCATCCATAAACGTTATTACAAAACTACTAGAATTGAATTAACCTAAGGAAGAACATCTCGACCGACAAAGAAGCCTTTTTTCAGTCATGAATAATATGCTCATTATGTAAGACTGAAGCGGATTTGATGGTTACTTTTTTAATCGATTTAAGCGTTTCCACAAATTATCCGACGTTACGTATTTTGCTATTGTAACGATCTTCAACGATCAATATTGCACTGTTAATATTTCAAGATTTTTAATATAAATTAATATGTTACAGTAATGTTAATAGTGGTCCTAAAATCCTACGTTTGCAAATTAAAAAATTATCAAGTTCTCAAGTTTACAAAATTCCAAATCTCCAAATTTGCAAATTAACAATTAACAATTTATATTGCAAATAAATATTGAGAACCTTAAAGTATTAACAACACATACCGATCGGTATAAATTCATAATTACGTGTATAATCCTTGATACAATTAAAACGGTAAATATCCGTATTATACGAAATGCTGAATGAAATCTAAGGTTATTGTACTCACAACGCGATTTCCGTACAGAAAGTTCTCAGCAATGTTTGTTAGAAAGATCATTCAATGATTCAAAACTTCCATGACAGACGCACACGGAAATGATCGGGAGGTAACACGACATGGCTGACTCGTCGTCAGCTGACAGATAAACGATTACAAGATTCCCATTGCGTACTGATATTTATCATAACCTAAAACACCTACGGTAACGCGACTAGTTTCATTGCATAGAATCATGGTCAAGCTACTCCTACATCATAAACACGATCGAGTTATGTTTCATAATGCATTGCGTTCCATGCAGCACCGAAAGTAAACAAAGAAAGACCACCTTCGATCGAGCTACCCTAACGTTACAATGTGATTGCACATTTCGATAGGAAATACTCTATGCCGATTAATTATCTGACGTCTATTCGGTAATATCGAATATATCTCGAAAGTCGATTCCGTACACACGAAAGGAAAGTACAAACGATTATCGAAGTACGCAATCGAATTCCAGTGAGCGAGCCGGTGTGAACGGTGTACTGTACACATCGTTTTTGAATAAACTAGAAAATTGTAAAACGCAGTGGACATCGAATCGAAGGGGGTGCGGTCGTAAATCGCGAGTAAAACGAGGGAAAAAGGAAAAAAGTGCGACTACGTGCAAGCTACTGCAGGAATGCAGAAAGAACGTCAGACGAAGAAGAGAGTGAAAGAGAAACAAAGAGAAAGAGTTGTCGTGTGAGTCTTTTGTATACGAGCATGTGTGCATGTACTTACATGTACGTGTACGCGAAGGTCCCCGCTCTGTGTGCACCACCAATCAAACGTCGAGTCACTGCACTTTTTTAATTCTCGCCCTTTTACTTTTTGTTCACATTACCGCGCGTGTTTACGAGCCCGATTACAGTTCGATTATTATGCACCATATTATACTGATTTAGCACTGTTCACATTATATTGTTTAATTCACGAACGTCGCGCGATGCACCGTGCGATCTGACTGCTCGCTTCGACAAGCCTCCTTCGACTGCGCGTCGAACACTACCGTTTCGGAACTCTGAGATTTGGTAACCGATGATACCCGATGATAACCGAATATCACCGAACGAGATCTTTAACTGGAAGGGATACTGGAGATGACGTTTCGCATTGTGTTTATGGTTCCTGATACCAGATACCGCTGTAGAATTTTAAGAACCGTAATTACAAATACTAGGCCTGTTTGATTAGGCGCTTCGCGCCTAACCTAACAATGTTGAGCGAGCGAGTAAATTTCACACTAAAGCAAAAATAGTCAACCGTGTCATCCGGTTGAATTGGTTGAGTGGTGCAAGAGAAAAGCGTGGACAAAAAAGTTGAAAAGTCAAGTACATAAGCGCGAGCAAATTTAATTTTGCATTAAAATCTACGAGGATATAGTTTTTCGGTAATTATTCCTCCGTGGCATGCGCGGGCGGCGCGTAGGAGGAATATACACGACAATGAGTATGCAAAATCGTTAATTACTCACTTTTTGAGCACAGTTTATGAACTTTTATGATTAAAGAATGGTCAGCAATGCATTATTTACATGGTTCGATCATAAAAGTTCATAAATAATGTTC